ATCCGGTTGCCAGGAGTTTGGCGATCTCCTCGCCTATGGCCCTGCGCCTCTCGTCATCAAAGCGACGCAGGCATTTCTTGGCGGGCTTTGAGCTCGGGCGAGGCATAATGCGTGCTCGGTGACCTCCCTTGGTATGCCCGGCATGTCAGAAGGTTTTCACGCGAAGACATCGTGGTTGGCGCGTAGAAAGTCAGAGAGCTCGCTTTCCCATATTATCGGGAGCTTGGTCCCGATCCGCACCATCTTGGTCGGGTCGGTGGGGTCAATCCCCACTGCCTTCGTTTCCTCCGTCGGGTGGAAGGCACTTGAGGAGGTCAGCACGTTGCAGTCTAGGACTGTAGGAGTCGATGAATTCCCGAGCTCTGGGAGCTCGGTGGAGTTGATGACGGCCGTGGTGAGCTCGTAATGCTCGCGGTCGCACGTATAAGCGTGCGAAAAGGAGCTACCTACAGTGATGACGCCGTTCGGTCCTGGCATCTTTAGCTTTAGGTAGGTGTAGTTGGGGATCACCATGAACTTGGCGTAGCATGGCTGCCCCAAGATGGCGTGGTAGGACCCTAGAAAGTCCACCACCTGGAAGGTGAGGACCTCCAAGCGGAAGTTGGCTCGGTCGCCAAATGTGACGGGCAGGTCAATCTACCCGAGCGGGTATGCCTAAGCCCCAGGGATCATGCCGTGGAAGGGAGAGCTCACCGAGCGGAGCTCCGGGGGATGCGCATGGCGTCGAGGGTGTCGACGTAAAGAATGTTGAGGCCGTTGCCTCCGTCCATCAGCACCTTGGTGAGGCGCTTCTTACGGACGATGGGGTTGATGACGAGCGGGTAATGACCCGGTCGGGCGACGTGGGAAGGATGGTCTCTCTGATTGAAAGTGATCGGGGAGTCCGACCAGCTAAGGAAAGAGGGGACGGCCGTCTCGGCAGCACATGCCTCTCTATAGCGTACCTTTTGTTGGCGCTTAGAGTGGATGGCGTCGGATCCCCCAAAGATCATGAGGCATTCCTTGGGGTCAGGGAAGCTGTCATCATCCTTGCCCTTTCCCTCGCCCGGCTTGCCGACCTATCACAGAAAGCGCTTGAGGAGCTCGCAGTCCTTGTAGAGGTGCTTCACGGGGTAGGCGTGGTTGGTGCATGGGCTCTCCATGAGCTTGTCGAAGTGGTCGGGCTAGCCCTGCTAGGGCTACTTGCCCACACGATCGGCTACGGCGACCAAGGCTGGGTTGGTCGGTCGGTGTCGATCCTTCTTGCTCTTCTTCCCCCTTTGTATAGAGGGGCCCTCGCCTTGGTCCTCGCGCTTGGCCTTGCCCTTGTCCCGACCGCCGCTGAAAACCGCCCCTACTGCCTCCCTGCTGGAGGTGTGGTTCGTGGCGATGTCGAGCAGGTCGCGGGTGGTACGGGGCTTTAGACAGCCGAGCTTGTGGATCAAGGACTCACATGTTGTCCTAGAGAGGAACGTGCTGATGACGTCCATGTCAACGACATTAGGAAGGGAGTTGCACTATAGTGAGAACCTACGGATGTAATCCCGTAGGGACTCGTTGGGCCCCTGCTGGCAGCTCTTGAGGTCCCAGGAATTCCCAGGATGGACATATGTCCCCTAGAAATTCCCAACGAAGACTCTCTTGAGATCCGCCCAGTCACGGATGCTGTCGGGCGGGAGGAATTGAGCCATGCTCGAACATGTTCTCCCACGCAGATGGGAAGGTATTGAATGATGAAGTGGTCATCATCCACTCCTCTGGCTCAGTAGGCGAGCCAGAAGTTCTCGAGCCATATCCTGGGTTTCGTCTCTCCGGTGTATCTGGCGATGTTGATGGGTGGTCAGAAGCGCTATGGGAATGACGCTCTCTGGATGCGACAACCAAAGGCCCGTGGTCCCGGGCCGTCTGGGCTGGGACTCCGGTCATCTGGTCGGCGACCATGCCTGGGGTGCGTGTCCCCGTACTCCTCGTTGGTCTGGCTGGGGCCCGTATCACCTGCTCCCGCAGCCATTCGGTAGGCGTCATCATCGTGCCGGGCATGGCATCGATTGTCTATGACGCTGCGAGCATCACGGTTCGGACCGAGGCATTCGCGCACCGGTGGTCGGTGTGGAGCGGGCACTGGGTTGGGTTGTGGTGTAGCCGCGGCCTCCTGCCCCACCTCCAGCAACTGTAGTGGCGAGTGGACAGAGCGATTCGATGGGTGCGGTCCTTGTCCTCAGGTGGGGCAAGAGGTCATGAGCCGATGTCGTGACGCAGAGGTCTGCGCCTGTTGAATGGTGGCGATCTCCACCAGCGCCCGGAGGTTTCAGTGGATTACTTGCTCCTAGGGGTTGGCCGGCTCGGGGAGGCCACACAGAAGCATCGCCGCAGCGGCGATGTGCTGTCCAGTTTGAGCGAACTAAGGGGGGTCGTTCCCCCCGTCCAGGATGTTGCGCTGGACCTAACTAGCGTGACCCCAGGCTCCGCTTGCTGGGTTACGTGTACGTGGCGTAGTGTGCTACGCCAAGCACGCCAGTGCAGGTGGCCTCTGGCTCTGCCGCCTTTGCCGTAACTCCTCACCGTGCTCCTACGCACGCGCGAGGGCCTCCGCATGAGGGTCTAGAGGGGTGTGAGTCTGTAGAGACTCTGCTACCACTGGTGGCTATCCCGGAGCGTCCGGCATAGCGCACTCCTAGGATAGAGAGTGGCCAGGTGCCGCGACATCACCGATGCTAGAGCCATCGCTTTCGACCTCGTCATCCATGAGGTCGTGAAAGGAGGCAGGAGCATAGCCCACCATCCCCATGAATTTGGATGTGAGAGGGGGCGGCGTCAGCATCCTTCGGAGCCCCCGTGCGTATGCATCCATAGGGGACGCGAAGCCATAGGGGAACCGGTCGTACGGCGGTCGTGGCGGGGACAACGGGGTCCCTCCGGAGAGTCGACAGAAGTTATCAAATAGCGAGTAAAAAACAATATGTACATCACTCACAGTGGGGTTTGAGCCCAGCCTGGGCTTGACGTGAAGCGCGAGTGTGTCGACGTTGAGGTCGTCGAGCGGTCCGGGCTGGTGGAGAGCGCTCCTCCTCCAGTGGACGCCGGGACAAGTGCCTCCTTGTGGAGGCGAAGCACGCCGAGCTAGTCGGCGATGAAGTCCAGACATCCGAAGAGGAAAGGTCTAGAACGGCTCAAAGACGGGAGGAACCCACTTCCCAATAGGTGGCTCATGGGAAACTCTAGCGAGCCAAAGCGAATCGTATCGCTTGAGCCCGCCATGCCGAAGATGGTGGAAAGGTGGGCCATCCGATGACCAAAAGCGTGAATGCACGGTGTTCTCCCCATGGTCGGCGCCAACTATCAGTGCAAAAAGTGACCAACAAGTGAATATTTGTAGTTTTGCCGTGCGCTGTGATCGGATGTGGCCTATCACTCAATGACACATGATTTATACTAGTTCAGGCAACGTGCCCTACGTCCACCTTCGGTCAGTCGATGACTTTATTTCTGAGCCTAGGTGCTCGAAGTTTACTGCGGGGTTACAAACGAGTGGGAATAAGAAGGGGGTGTTAAAGGTCTGATCGGACTCTGAACCGAAGGGCCGAGAGTGACGGGAGCTCTAACGTGCGCTAAGTGTTGGAGCGTGTGCTCTGCATAGCTTTAGAGTTCTAGAGCTATTCGGATCCTAGAATCGGCCAGAGAGAGTTTGAATCACCGTCCCTGTTGGGAGAAAGCACATCCCCTTTTATAGGTGAAGGGGATCGCCTTACAAGTTAGAGAGAAAGAGAGAGAGAGTGTACGTGTGCTACCTAGTCTTCTTGCTCACGCCATCAGGTATGAGACGATTGTCGGCGCTCACAATACTGTTCACTGCTAGACGCGTCTGGCAGGTTTTACCGTGTTCACCTGATATGGTACATGTCGGCGCCTACAATACTGTAAGACAAATGTCGATGCCCACAACACTGTTTGGGTTCTGACACGCCTGGAAGGATGCATAATACCCGTCTGGCATGGCCTGATGGTACTGCCCTGTAGGTATGGAGGGTACGGTCCTTGGTATTGCGGTTGACTCGAGCGCCTTACCTTATCTGCTCCGCCTGATCTTTGGGTCCTCACCGAGTGGGCGTCCCCGGTCGGCCATTCCCAGTCGGTTCCTATCGTGTCAGTCGGGGAAGAGTCTGTAAGCAGAGGTTCGTTGTATTTCCGGTCGGAAAAGGGGGTCGGAGTCGGACTATGTCCCCCTCCTTGGCCAGGTCTTCCGGTCGGGGACTGGATCGTTCTCTAGGCCGGTCGTCACGTAACCAGGCCGGCCCAGGAAGCATGCATTGTTGCTACGTCGTCCTGCTGGGCCGAGTTTTTGCAGGGAAGAGGGTCCATTGGGGACCCCGGGTTTATGAACCCGACATATAAAGTTTTGATGATTTGAAATTCAAAAATTTGTCAAACAATCATATGAAATGACCAAAATCAAAGTTGTAGATCTCGATTATAATAATAAATTTGTAGTTTATGACTTTTTCATATGAAGTCGTTTAGGGTCCTAAATATTCATTTTAAAATCATAAAAAGTAAATATTATGGGAATTGATATGTTATATAAACTCATGTAACTTAGAGGTGAAGTGATTCGAGGAGCTACGTGCGAAGACAAAAGTCTCATGTTCGAATCCTAGCACCACATGGATCCTCGAATCACTTGACGAGAGTATCAGATATTGATGTGGTATAGGTAAAATACGTGGATCACGTGGGAGAGTGACGGGAGTAGTTGCAAGGCTGGCATGCTTATGGCCTTTCGAATCACTTGACGAGAGTATCAGATATTTATGTGTTATAGGCAAAATACGTGGATCACGTGGGAGAGTGACGGGAGTTCGCCTTTCGAACCATGACAGTTGGCCGTCTCGGTCTATCCATCTATCTATTAAATCAGCAGTGGTGGCGGTGGCGGCCTTCAGGCCCTTGTCTCCCGTGCACAGCATCTTCTGGTCTCCTGGAACTGGAACTGTGAGGTCATCTGCTGGTTGCCATCCTGCACGATGGACACACCACCACCAGAGAAGCGCGAGGGCAACGATGGCAATGGCAAGCCACACGTTCTCGTGGTGCCTTTCCCAGCTCAAGGCCACATGCTGGCGCTCCTCGACCTCGTCGCGCTGCTCGCCACGTGCGGCGGCCCCGAGCTCTCGGTCACTGTGGCCATCACGGCGGGCAACGCCCCGCTCCTCGAGCCGCTCCTGGCTGACTGCCCGTCCATCGGCGTCGTCACGCTGCCGTTCCCTTCCTCGCCGTTGCTCCCACCGGGCTGCGGCGAGAACACCAGGGACCTCCCGCTCCACCTCTTCCGGATGTTCATCCCGGCTCTGGCCGAGCTGCGCGCGCCGCTCCTCGCCTGGTGCAAGGCCCAGGCGCCCACCCAGCGCGTCACGGCCGTCGTCTCCGACATCTTCACCGGGTGGGCGCGGCCGCTCGCCGCCGAGCTCGGCGCCAGGCACGTCACCTTCTCGCCCTGCAGCGCGTTGCACGTCGCCTTCTCCCGCCCCCTCTGGCGCGACATGCCGCAGAGAATACGTGCCGACGCCGACGCCGACGAGGCCGTCGTCACGTTCCCGGATGTACGCGGCGGCGCCCACAGCTTCCCTTGGCGCCGGCTGCCAATGACGTACCGGCTCCACAAGGTCGGCGACGAGCCATCTGAGATGATCCGTCAAATCACTCTCTGGAGCCTGCTGGACACTGAGTGCGTCGTCCTCAACTCCTTCGCCGCTCTCGAGCCCACCTACCTGGACCGCCGTTCGCCTTTGGTCCCGCGGGTGCTAGCCGTAGGCCCACTGTCCGAGGCCCGGGCCACCGTCTCCGCTAACCGGGGCGGGAAGCCGGCGGTGGCGCCGTCAGCGGTGGCAGCCTGGCTGGACGCCTTCGCCGACGGATCCGTCGTCTACGTCAGCTTCGGGACGCAGCACGCGCTGTCGCCGGAGCAGGCGGCGTGCGTGGCGGACGCGCTGGCTCAGAGCTCGGCGGCCTTCGTGTGGGCCGCGGGGACGCTCACTGTGTTGCCGGAGGGGTTCGAGGCGGCCACAGCTTCGCGGGGCATGGTCATCCGTGGGTGGGCGCCGCAGGTGGAGATCCTGCGCCACCGTGCCGTGGGCTGGTTCCTGATGCACTGCGGCATGAACGCCGTGCTCGAGGCCGCCTCCGCCAGCGTGGCCATGCTCACCTGGCCTATGGGCGCCGACCATTTCTTCAACAAGATCGTGGTCGAGGAGGCCGGCGTGGCCATGCACGTGGCGGAGGGCGCCGACACCGTACCTGATGCTGGGCGGATGGCGGAGGCCATCGCCGCGGCCGTCGGGGACGAGGGAAAGGCCATTAGGGAGCGCGCCGTGGAGCTCGGCCGCAAGGCCGCAGAAGCTGTGGCAGAGGGTGGGAGCTCGTACATGGATTTTCAAGAGCTGGTTCACATGCTGGCAAAGGTCGACTAGTGGTCGGGTTCATAGCAGCCAAGTTCTCGAAACATTGGGGTCGTTGTAGGAAACGCGGTACGTGGTTTCTTAAGTCCATGAGACGAGGAGGTATATAGCTTGATCTTGTTCCTTCGATTATTAATGGAATGCGTATCAAGTGTAATGGGAATGTGTTCCCTGAACGACGAACATGATTAATTAGCACAAGTGTTCACTAAATATAAAACTAAGAAAGTTCGAATAAAATAATAAAGATAAAATAGATAGTTGAATTCGTCGTCCGGCCTCTCCTCTTTTTTTTTCTTCCATCAATTGAATTTTGGGTCTCAGATTTCCGTCAAGTAGCCAAGCGTGGTTCCGTGGTGTGGATCACGTTCAATTGGTGTTCGGAACGATGTTGCATCATGTTCCTGTTCCACGAACTGGCACGATGTTTCCAGAACGTGTAACGTGCCCACGTTTCCATTCCTAGGCCGTTGAGGTCGGGGTTACCTTTTGTTTGGTTTTATTAGGGGGTTTCGTCTTAAAATTGGAATTTGAGTTGTAGTTAAACTTGAATATAAGAAATTTCAGCAGATAGAATTTGAAATTTGAAAAGAACAAAAGAAAAAGGAAGTACGCGCGTGGAGGTAGGCTCGTGTTTTCGGTGAGCTGTCGCTGCTGATGTGGTCATGACCATCGGTGGTCATGAACCATGATGGGCCAACAGGGAGAACCATTTATGGGAGAAGATAATATGCTAGGAAAATAATAAAATAAATACTCCCCCTTCGATCCCAAAAGACTGTCGCTCCGGATACAGGCCCGCAGTAGGACCTCCGAGCACAATCTTGCGAGATGTTGCTCGTTGCGTGGCCCGTCGCCGGCACCTAGGCGCTGCAGCTACCGTCCCTACCGGTGGCCTTGGCGACCCTGATTCGCCAGCGCTGCGGAGGCGGTGGTGGATTCTGGATGGATAAAGAGAGGGAGAGCAGGTCTGCTGGGAACGTGGCGCCCAAGGAGGGAATCCTGTTGCATGAGGGGTGGAGTTGGACAGCGACGGTGTGGCAGTGGGCGGCACCGATGACAGGGTTGGCGCGCAGCGGGGAGGTGGTTGGCGACGGCATCGAGACATGAGTTCCACGAGATAACGACGTCTAGCGGGTCACCATCACCACAGGCGCTCGCGTTCTTCGTCTCTGACATCGACGCGGACCAGCACCGCCTCAGCAGGCACCACCACCATACGCGCTGACACATTCGGTGGGCAAGAAGTGACATTGGGCCATGGATTTGCTGGGAACGTGGGGCTCGTGAGGGAATGCTCTGGAAAATGAAACTTGAATATAATAAATAAATTTCAGCAAATAGAACTGGAAATTTAAAAAGAACAAAACGAAAAGGAAGGACACCCGTGGGCTATCTGGCCAATCAAGGCCCAAGAAGCCGAGCAGCCAACCCAGGGCCTTCCCTTATTCCGTTGCATGAGGGGTTGATGAGGCCCATGTTATGGGCCGATGCCTCCATGCGAATGGGTTGCTCACATGCGAATGGGACCACCGAAGATAGCACACGGGAAGTAGAGCGAACGTAAATAAACACATGCTGATGTGCCAAAGTGTGTTCGTATGGGTTGCTCTCCAGAGAAGCACAGAAATGTTGCATTACCAAATTCGGGTGGCCGTGGATTTAGGAAAAACTCAGTAGTGCTTGTTGGTACCCAATGTGCTAGTAGAACTGTGTTATTTGCACATGCCTCCATGACGCTTCCTAAGGTGGAGTTTATTGGCATTTTTTCTTTTTTGCAAATACTCTCCTTGGTTGCAATTGGACTTGATATGAACTTACAACCAAAACGCCACTTGCGTCTTGTGCGATCAAGGCTGCGAGACATCGGATCATCTTCTCACCTCATGCGTGTTCGCCAGGGAGACCTGGTATCGTCTGCTCCGCTTGGCGGGCTTGCAAGGTATCGCTCCTCAGGCTGATGCAACCTTGGTAGAAAGCTGGTACCTAAGCCTGCTAGGAAGGAGTTCGACTCGGTAGTGCTGCTCACGTCTTGGAAGGAGCGAAACCGTCGAACTTTTGACAGGATCTCCAGAACACCGCAGGAGCTACTCCGCCTAATCGTCGACGAAGCGCACAGCTGGGTAAGCGCAGGTTTTACCAGCTTGTCGTCCGTGATCGGCGCTGCACATCGCTAGCATCGTGTTATAACCGCTGCTCCAGTCGCTCAACTGGTCTCTTAGTTAGTTACAACCCAGCGTATTCTACCGTTTAGCGGGGCCTTGTGTTTGTGTTTGTGTCTGTGTTTACCTAATCACCAATGGCACCTCGCCGTGAAGTGATTTTGGACATGTACTTATTTTCCAACTTCTCTTAATGAAATACGTGCTAAGCACGCTCTCAAAAAAAAAAAAGTTGTCGATGCCTGCAGCTATCAAGATGCTAGGAACCTGTAAAGCAGTATTTGATGTTGAATTTTTTTGGAAGGATTACCTGTAATCACTCCTGGACGTAGGCCATGTTTGCTGCTCTTCGTGGTCCGCGTTAATCTATCATTATGTTGCATCGGTTTAATCGAATCCATTCACATGGTAGCATTGTGAATTCGGGTGTTACTCCATCTGTCATGACTCAGAACAGGAGTTTTTGTATGCTCCTACTCAATATTCAAGACCCAATCGTACCTTGATTTCAGCATGACACAGACACACAGTCAACGCAACCTTTTAGTAATGGGTGTGTGCATGTATGTGCATTATCGAGCGGACCACTGTAAACAATGATGGATCAAGATCTCAATCAACTCCCTTATTTCTTTTTTTGGAAACTGAGTCGCACCTGAAGTTTCAAGCAAATGATGCCAAGCGTTCCAGCTGACTCAGACATATGCGTTCACACAAGGCTCACGAGGCAGCCTCACTCCAAGCATCTCACCATCCCAGCTTCTGGATCGGCATTATTTTTATACATTAATAAAGAACAACACACAGCATGGAGCTTCCGAGTGTCAATTCTTTGAGCTTGCTAGCTAACTGCTTTGTTAGGGACAAAGTGAAAACATGCCATCCATGGCTTATACAAAACATTACACCCATGGATATACTGATCCAGGGACTGATACGTGATACCCAATGGACCTTCGGGGAGGAGGGTTCTAAAGCTTGGGTTGGGGCGATTGTGGAAACCACCTCTGCAAATAAAACCTAATCGTTTCTAAATGTACTTTGTATACTAGTGCTAGTAACCAGCATGTGCTCTGACAGGTTCCTCCATCACTTGCCCGGCACTGTCTTGCGACTCTGTTCATTTTGGAGGTAGAAGAATTCCACTGGCGGCAAATCAAGGCCTCCTTTATTAGAGCCACATTTTGGTAAATCTTCAGGAGGTGGAGGAAGAGAGGTGTCTGTCGATGTTTCACCACCGATAGCCTGCCACGGGGGTCCCCGGGGCAGTATTGTTTGGGCTTCAACGTATGCGGAACTCGACGGTGAACGCAAGAGACAGTCGATTTATCCTGGTTTAGGCCCTCGACTGTGGTCGAGTAACAGCCCTACGTCCAGTCGGCGTTAGCCTTTGCGTTGGATTGATTGTGTTGTAGAAATCCTGATCTCCCTTCTCTAGGAACCCTGCCCTCCTTTATATAGTCAGGAGGTCAGATTCCTAGTCGGTTTACAATGAGAGTTCCTAGTAGGATTACAAAATACTACTACTACTAAGATTACATGGGGAGAATCCTAGTTAGACTAGATCTTCTCTCTTCCTTGCGGGGTATCCTGTGGGTCCCGCATCGACAAGCCCCCGAGCACTTCATGGTTGAACTCCGGAAGCCTTGTCTTGTTCCTCCAGGTCCTGCCGAGCAGGAACAAGCGTCGCCTGAGTGCTTTCTTGAGTGAAACCATCTGGGTGTAGCCCCCGAGCCTCTTACTATTTGGAACAAGGAGCTGGAGGGTCTTGTCCTGAAATTGCTCTGATTCTTCGTTGAAGGGCTCTCGAGCATACTATATCCGAGTTCTTTTTGGGTGGGTGCAATTTTTCATAAAAATTGCACTCACTGAGTGTAGCCCCCGAGCCTCTTGCTTTTGCTTGCAAAAGTTGGAGGGTCCAGATTCTTTTCTTCAAAAAATTCTGGGGCTATGTATCCCGCAGCCCCGAGCCTTCTCCGAGTTCTTTTCTTTAGAAAAGAAATCAGATGAAGGGTCTTGATGTGTTGTCGTCGTTGTAGACTTGAGTTTCTTGTATTCTTGGTCCTTTGTCTTTGATTCCGAGCCTCCGGGAGTAGTTGAAACGAAGGCCGAGCCCCCGAGCTTAGTGACATAATATATGAGTTGTTTTCGATCAATCTGAGTTGTTTCTGGACATGCATGATCTTCGTTGAAAGGTCTTCGAGCATGTTCCCGGGTTCTTTATCAAGTGAGTCCTTGAAGTAGTTTTGTCTTGAAAAAGTCTTCTTGGTGACGTGCACATTTTTTTTTGAGAGAAAAAAGTGTACTCACTGAGTGTAGCCCCCGAGCCTCTTGCTGTTTAGAACAAAGAGTTGGAGGGTCTTGAGTCTGATTTGTTCGAGGAACTGAAATTTAACTGAAAATTTCTCTTGTTGTGGTAGTCTGCCGTTTGCCAGGTGAGGTTGTATGGTGGCGGTTGGGTATAAATGTTGCCTGTTTACAGGTTGCACAGTGTTGGTATATTCTTCCGAATATGCTCGTTTTAGAAATCTTGTGCTGAGTCTTCTATTATTGAGTCCTGTCTTTTCACTTTGTGTCCTTTGTAAGGCCTGTTTCGTTGGTACTCCTAGTCCATGTGCACCGCTCCTTCGATCTATAAATACCCTCCCGAGTGCTTGTTTTCTTCCATTGAACATCTTGAATCTTCGTAGTCATGAATATGGTAGTTTATGAAGTAGAGCAGCCCCAGGCGTCTTTTGTAGTTCTGTCGTCTTGTTGTAGCTGGAGGAAGTCTTGTGATAGGGGTTAGAGGTAGACTAACCCGCAGCAACAATGTACCGGGAAATGCGTGAGCGGTAGTTGGAGGAAGTC